CCAAAAATTTAGTGCCACTAAATATTTCATCTGATCAGCATCGAGCTGCGCAAATAAAGCACGACACTGCACTGCTCTGAAGCTTCAGAGCTCGTAACATCACAGCAGCATATCCCAGCTGCTAATGGGATACAGCGAAGCCAGTCTTAATCACCTGTCCAAAAACAGCTACTTTGCCAAGATTGTTGTTACCTAAAGATTGAACACCGGCATCCTGGAAATAGTTTAGCTATTTTGAAGCAGTCACATAAAACCAGCAGCTGCAACTACAGGCGGGGTCTAGCGCAGCTTTTGCAGGATATAAAATTTATACAGATTCCTGTGAAATCAGGCCAGCAACAGAGGGGCCAACGAAAACCTTCTGCTCACAGTCTGTCTGCATTGCAGTCCTTTTGTGCCTGTTTTCTCCCTGCCTGTCTTTCCCAGAGCTGTCATCCATTCCAGCCCATCTTGCAGCAACTTGCCTTCTCTTCCGCACTTTGCTATTCTCACCGCTGCCGTGTACAGTCAGAGCATGGTCAGGTCCCAGCTTCAAGGTGGAGAGCTCTGTTATTCTACCACAAACCGAGCAGCTGCAACACTAGGTTGAAAGTTAGGAAGGATCTGAACTCGAACAGGCAAACTCTCCCAGAAAAGCTCCACAGCAATCACAAAAATAAGTCAGGCAATGTGTTGAAAGCACGCACGCACAGAAGAGGAGAAGAGGTAGCTCCTGGAGGAAAATGATGGTGTACTTAAAACAAATGGCAAAAGAATCTGTTACCTTTGACCTCCAAAGGAGACTTTATCTTGACATCAGTCCTCCACTAACAGGAAAAGGACATCAGAGTGCAATTCCAACTTGCATTCGACTTCTTTATTTTGTGTGCCTGCCCTGTGAAGCATCACGCTATTGCTGCCCATTGTCAGCACTCTCGTCTCCAGAGCCTCTCCTGCTTTTCCTATAAACGGCTCCTGCCTTTGCACAATCACAGCCCGGAGGCCATCCCTGCCAAGCAGCACAACAGTTGTCCCCAGTGGGCAGGACACCGACTTACTGCTCTTGAGGCTCAGACAGAGCCCGAGCAAATAAGCAGCGCTTGGCCTCGGCTGCATCCACCCAGGCAGGGCTGGCTTACATCTCTGGGAGTTTGAAAATGGCACTTCTGGAGAAAACAGGGCAGAAACACCCAAGTTTCAGCCAAGCTAGTTAGCTTAGTGCCAGCACTTCTGGAAGCAATCACAAAGCTGACCGCAAGCCCAGGACCAGCCATGCTGTGTGACACTCCTCTCACTGCAAGATGTGAGGTCGTACACATTGGGACAGAAAACAGGACTTGAGGAATGAAGTACAGCACATTGCTCGTTTTCTTCAGCAAAGCTTGGTTATAGAAGACCGGGACCCAGTGCAGTGAGAGGCAGCCGGCTGACCTGCTGCAGCAGGCATCATAGATATGTATGTAACGAAGCCTCGGATAACCAATATCAAACAAAGAACAACGAGTAGAATGAGCACAAGTGTCTCAAAAGGCTTGTATATGAAGAAGAGTGAACCTGAGGAATAATTAACAGGTAAAGTGCCATAAAATTATTTCCACTTATAGTGCAGACTCCTTTTAAGTGAATTAGACAAATACTGAGTGTTAATATTCAAACAGATACCAGATACTTAGATAATTAAAACCCAGACATTATGTACATTATGCATATATTGCATTCCTTTGCAGCAAATACAAAATACATTAATAGTTTCCATTCCCTGCATTGTCTTCATGCAAAGGGGGGAGAAAAGGAAAGAGGTTTTATTCAAGGAAAAAACCTGAACACAGCACATAAAAGAAAACAGCTTACAATACATAAATACAAAATATATAAGAGATCTGAGAGTACGTCTACTGTCAAATTCGCATTCCAGGCAAAGGATACTAAATTAAAAGTTCTGCCAAAATCCTCACGGACTCAAGTAAGAGATGATGTATATGAAATTTGCTACAAGATAAGCTTCCCCATTGCTTATCTAAGCAATCTAAGTGGCACCAAGAATGACAAATCTCAGTACCTGTTTTAAAATCTTTTAAATATATCTGGAAGCATTTGCTTTCGTTATATTATCATAAATATCTTTATAACTTGCATTTAAAGCAGTCATTTATACAAGACTTTTAAAGCACATGAGTACATTCAATCTTGGTTAGCTAAATTGGTGGAGAGGAAAAGCTGGCAGATGGCACATCACCTAGCTTGACAAAAATGCATTTGTTCTCCAGTTCTTACAGTAAAGAGACTGATCAATCTTTCCAGTACTGAAGTTAGTAATGAGCACTTTTTTTCCAAGTTACTGAGTTTCTGGTCACCTTTACTGACTCCACAGATATGCTCCTCCCCTTAATTACGCAGGTTTTCATTACTGGCCTAGCCAATTTTACGCTGTAGAAAACTCAAGTCTCTCCATTACCCCATTTGTCATTTAAAACAAACTCCTCAAAGCATCAAACAAGAAACTGTGCCATAAGCCTGCATGAGGATAACAAATCCGTAAGCATTCATTCATCACATGTACTCACACACCTCCCACACGGTTTTTGGTCACAGAACACCACAAAGCTACTCGGTATCAATTCTAGTGTAACCTCTCTTCAGCTTCACCCCTGCAGTTTTCATCCAAGCCACTTCCTACAGCCTGGATTTTCTGCTCCCCGCCTGGTATTAATTTAAGGCTGAGATCTTACAAGGAGAGCCTCAAGGACAGGACTCTCAAACCCAGAAAAAGCACCACAAAAGTTTCTCTCTCCAGCACCCAATTGTCTCCTACCATTTGCCTGCTCATCTCTCCCATTCTCTCCCTTCTCACACCTAACAGTAACGGTTATGGCTCCCTTTGGTTCTTCATCAACCTAAATATTCAGAAATTCTTACAAGTCAGATAGCTCCTCCACCTGCTTCCCCAAGATCCTCTGAAGAAAACTGCAGCAAACCACCACAGCACTGATAAAGGGCAAAGCAAGTCTCACCACCTCCTGCACAGAAACATCCCTTCCCTGTTCTCAGAGATGCCACTCACCAAAAAGAGTGGCAGGAGCGTAAAGTGAACCACCAGGTCTGCTGAACAGTCACCTTTTCCTCTCCACAAAAAAACCCACTGGGAACAGCCTCCAGCCATTTCAGCAACTCGTAAAAGCTGCTGGTCTGCTCCAAAGGGCAGCAGATTTCTCCTTCACCTCTTTCAACATGTCCCCTGCAACTCAAAAATGATCAAGAAGGTGTCTGTACTACACACAGCCTCTTCCCCCAGTCTCCTCTCCCCCTTCCCGCAGATAGCTAGTATGATAGGGAAATACTGTAGAGGCAGACAGAATTTGTACAACAGTATTACACGGCTGAAGGCTGGGAACCAATTCTGGTGACAGCCCCTCTTCTGTTACTCCGGCTGAGGAAGTTCATAGTACCATGTTGTTACAAGGTCAGTCCCACAGAGGGAAGCACACCAACTCTGTCGACACTGTCATTTGCAACTTTGTCCTGTTAAAAAGGCAATTCCAGTTGCAGAGTGTAACACTTACAAACAGGTGCCCTCCAGTTGCTGGCATATTTGCAACTCCGTTACTTTCCAATGGCAAACAGCAGACTAAACTTTTGAGAGTGATACTGCAGTCAGACTAAGACTCTGGGTGAACGGCAGTAGCACAGCTATTCACAACAGACTAACATATAACTATAGCAAAGCATGGAAGCTCTATTTGGACAAGGTGGAAAGGCAGAGCTTACCTTTAGAAAACTGAACATGCTTATGCGATTGTAAAGTAGTCTTGCAAGAGGCAAGACAAGTTACCATAACCTTTTGTGGGAAAGAAAGGGAATCAGTAAAAGCCATGTCTGGTATCTTTTACATTTCAGGCATAACAGAAACCAACATTTTTTACTTAAACTTCCTTTTAAAACAAACCTGATGATGTTATATCTTACACAGTGTGAACTAAGGATCTAACCTTACTACACTTACATACGCCATACAGCAGACCCATATCAGTCCTCCTGAAATCCCATAAAAGTGCTCGCAGAAATGCATAGCTAACAGTCAGAAGAATCATGCAATATAAGGCTACAAGTACAGCCAAACCGACCCTTTTATTTTATTTGGAAACACTGACTTCCAAAATAAAGCACTTTTAGAGTAACTAGAAAACATACCTTTTCCAAACCTGCAGCCTAAAAGTAAGTGGTGAGAGACATTTTCGAATGAGGTAAACACACTGCATAGGCTATATATTTAAACCCAAATTCCAGTAGTGATTTGACTTAATTGTGAAATTATTTAAAACTGAACAGAAATAAAAAACTATATACTTACAAAAATCTGGAAATAAATCCAGGTTGACCCTAACAACAAATTGGAAAATAACTCATTTACAAAGGGCCTTTCCTACTGCCTTTTTTTTTTTTTTTTTTTTTTTAAAGTTACCCAGACAAAAGCACAATTTGAAAAGAGCTTTCCTGCTTATCCATGGAGATGTTTCTTCTAGAACACTTGCTCAGCCACAGCTTGTCTCCTTCAGTTAATCTGAGCCAAGAGTGGTACTGGTCACACAACATCACACCGCTCTGGTGAACACTGGCCTTCCAGCCCATGCTGCAGCTCTGCTTGCCCCAGCCTGCGTTCTGGAGCCATGACAAAGCTTTGTGAGACAGGGTGCTCAGAACAGAGACTGGTGCTTAACAAAGAGTGTTAGAGACACCACTTATAATTTTAAACCATTTGAAAACTAAGGTATAATTAACAGTAGTGCCTTCTGTGAGCCTCGTATTTTTATTTAAAATGTGTCCTTGCAGGTTTGTCTTTTTTAATATTCCCTCATATCAGTGTTTAGTTCCCAGAAATCAATCCCATCAGGCAATGCAGTTTTCTGAAAAGATAGTATCTTCCATCCTCACCACATTTTCAATCAACTCTGTAGAAGACAGTCAATGATCAGACTAAGATAAAGTGTATATATTCCTTTCTGATACAGGCAACAAAGCTGTACACTGAAAAAATAAATCATACTGAAAATCAAAAACCACACCAAAAAATCCTGCTGTGGCCACACAATTAAGTTGTCCCACTGAGTACTGCCCAAAACCACTTTTCTTCAAGTGCCTGTTAGCTTAAAAAAAAAAATGAACGAACTTATAACATTAAAAATAATGGTTTCTTTTTAATTAGACTCTGAGAATCATGAATTTACGTAATCCTTGAAAGCTACAGCTCCCCCAAGGCTGCCATACTGCCTTGACAACTTGTAAGTAGCTTGTATTTTACCCTTTGGATCCAGGCTTCAAGCTCGCAAAAGCTTTGGAGTTCTTAAGGGAATGTGAAATTTCATTGAGAAAAGAAATAAAATGATAGTCCCTTTCCGACTTCTTGGACTCAAAAATAACTACAATGGTGAAGTGAGGTTCAGGGCGAGTCAGAAAGTACGTGCTTTGGACTTTGTCATCGTAGAAGTGAACAACCTTCTCCAAACTGTTGAGGTCAGAGGTTCTATCAGTCATAATCATGATTACATTGGGCCAGTGCATAACAGGCCTGTCGCTGGGCAGAGACACCACTGCAGGGTACTGATCCACCCCTTTGGGGGCTTCCCTGTAAGAATGGGGATGATGATAACCATGTCCCTGAAAACTCTCTGATCCACGATTGTCAAAAATTAAGGAAACGTTAACAGCATCGTACTTCCGGATGAAGCTGGAAATTTTCCCAAAGTAATCAGGATTTGTTTTAGCAGTCAAAGTTTTCATTTCAGATGCTGTTGTTTGCCGACTAAGAGCCTCATGAAAGTAAAAGCTAAACTTCGCAAGGAGGATGTTTTTGAGCTTCATCAGCCAGAGGAAGAGGTGCGGAGGCTGTACAGCCTTCTGAGACTGCCCTCCAAACAGATGTTTCTTGGTCTCTCGCTGTTTCTCAAAAATTTGGCCCCAAGTCTGTAGTTTTGTGTGAGCACTGTGCAAGTTGACCAGGGATGGAAGGAACTTCCATTCTGAGATCTGAGCCTGAGCCTTTAAGAGATGCGCAAGCACATCTACTTCCAGCTGGAAACTGCTTTCAAGAGGACTGAGGATTGGATGATGAAATCTAGAAAACATAATGTTAGTCAAGACATGAGAACTGCTGTACCCAACAGAGAAACAATCAGATACTATCTGTCAGTTCACAGACAAAAGACCAAACATCAAAGCAGAGTAAAGTACAAACCAAAAAATAATCTTGTTAATTTAAAACCCAGCACTTTTATCATAATTAGGGCAAATATTTTAAGAACATACAGCACTTCACATTTGACAAAAACACCTGTCAGACATTTCTCTGTCAAAGCAAGGGAGTTACATTTGATCAGTTCAAGGACAATCACTGTTTATCTTGATCCATTAACTACTATAACACCATTTCTCTTTAAATTCAGGTGGCTTTGTTCCAATTTAAAATCCCTTCTGGTGGTAAAATAGGTCTTGATCATTCTGGAATAGCAGTAAGACATTAAGTTAAATCAAAGGAATTCTGTTATAAATTAGCTGTTTGTATAGGTAAGCTAGGAGAAACACAAGCCAAGCTTTTCTTTTTTTTTTTTTTTAAATTCACAATAAAATTGTGATGGAAAATTAGTCAATAGTTTAACTGTATTGACCAATGAACTGGGTCTCAAACTTCAAACCTTGGTGTACTTAAAGCAATAAAGGGGAAAAACATTCGGCAGGATTTCATCATATCACAGTGAAGACGCTGTAACAACCAATTTCTCTCACTAAACATTCGGGTCAAAATCAGCTCTCAATCTAACAGATGTTTAAAAAAAACCCAAAACACAACACTTCATCCACCAGGCAGAAGTGTCACTATGCATTTTATTCACAAGAGCGATCCTACTGTCAGAACAAATCTTGATAAAATGGAATTTTATAGATCCCTTCTATAGCTTTCTCTTCTCACTTTATTTTTCCTAAACATTGGGGGGGGGAAAGACAGATCAAGCCTACCCACTTTCCCTTAATACTCAAATTACTTGTAAATTTATAACATAATCAATAAATACACACTGAATTCAAACTGTGCAAAATTGTTCCAGTTACAGAAGCTACAGACTTAACTTTAGAAAGAGTGAGTCTTCAGCAAAGACAGAAGTGGCCTTTTTAGTAAATGTGTTCCCTCACAGGCATTTAGGACTCTTTAAGAGGTCTCCAACACAGAACAACCAATAGTTCAAAGACAAGGCTTGATGAGGTTTCCATTTAAGCAAAAGTAGATTTATCCCCTCACTTCAGGAAAAATACCCTGGGTCTTGTTACTGCTTTAAAACAAAGAAGTTTATACTGAATTCATTAACAGCTCATCTTCAGACAAAGCAAAAGCAACTCCATTATCCCCCTCAGCTTCCAGGGCATAATACATAATACATAATACATAATGTACATAATACATTTTGGAAATATTTGGTTCAAAACTAAGACACTTAATTTTGTCATGGACCAGAAGAGAGAAAGAGAATTTTAGGCTTTTCATCCCCTCTCCCTTTGCTATTTTTAAATTGACTTTTCATCACACTCTTGCCAAAACATTAATTCTTAGGCTTGAGAAAATTGTCTGACAATTTTATCACTATTTTTAAGAGTCTCTTTTTTTGACAGCCATAATACATGTCTTGAAAGGATGTGCTATTAGGATGCAAGTCCAAATTTATTTGAAGAAAATGAAAAGATGAATATCATACATCAGCTGATGCACCATGTTCTGCAAACAGGCTAGGCTGGGTGACCTTCCGTACACAGTACATGTCAGCAACCATTGTATCTGCCTGCTGTAGCAGAGATACAGTGATTACTGGCTACTTTCGGGGACTGAGAAGTCCACAGCATATTTACATTTCTTTGAACAAACAAGGGTAAATTAAAAATAATATTCTGCTGATACTCAACATTATCTATTTCCAGGGGTTTTGGTATTCAGCAGAAAAACAGTTTGTTGCCATGTAGTAGAAGTGGGGGGAAGCATTATACAACATTATTTGTTCCAGATAATTCCATCAAATGCACACTTAGCACAGTGGTTTCAACACACTTGCAGTCAGACCAAGAAGGTCACTCTTAAATCTTAAAAGCAATTAAAAAATTCATACTTAAGAGAGCACTGCCAAATCTCCGGGATTAATGTTATGGTGTACAGCTTCCCACTTATACTTTGCTTCACGGCTCATGGCTGTTCATGTTTCACTGCACAGCAGGATTTGCTAAACTGTTTTAATCCAAAAACACACACCTCGGCCACAGCTGAGAAGCTTGATATGGTTGCAGAGTAAACTAACAGGTTATGTATTCTGTATATCTGCTGTAACTAAGTTTCATAACAGAGAAGCATCTGGCTGAGCTCAGTATTATTTAAAACAGACAGGTTTTTTACAATATTTCAATAAGCCAGTGTGAAGAACTTAAAAACACATTGTAAAATTGATTGTTTTCCCCTGGTCATTCTCAAAAGCAGAGGGATGCCACAATTTTGTTTTGCAGACTATGAAGAAGCCTCGTTTTTCTACAGCTTTTTACTTCCTTCCATAGATATTATATTCATGCATGTATTTAAAAAATGCTGTCTAGATGAAAAACATTCAATACAAATATAATTACATCAAAACACGTTGAGTAGTTACTTATTCATTTTATACTAAGCTTTTAAAGGATCCTGCTTCTGACACTATTTTAATTATTTTGGTTAAGAACCCACCCAAACAAACAGTTAAAAAATTCAGGAAAAGTTACCGCTCCAGCTGTATTCTATATAAAAACAGAGAGGAAAAAACACCTAGCATTGGCTGTGTATAAGTCATCAATAAGCAGTAACGGAACAACTTTAAACTGTTCAAGAATTTTTCAGATACAGACAATATGACTTGACCGTTGACAATTAATTCTGTCATTCCTTTACCAGCAAGCAGTTCTTTGCTCTACATTATCTGAACAGCTAATTTTAGGTGTAAAGGAAAGAAACCAAGGCCAGAACCAACCTACAGCACAGACGCCCTGTTCATCTGATGCCCTGTTTCACCAACAGATGCCCTGTTTCAGCACAGTTGGCTGAAATAATGGCACACATCCTCAATCGCAAGTGAGGAACAAACTGACAGAGGGAAGAGACTGGATAAGGCCGAGTTTATTTGACCTTTCACCTGAAAGGGTCAACAGACTGTAAACCAGAAATGCCTTCCAGGCAGCACACATCAACCTAACAGCCCCCAGAAACTGATATGAGATGTGAAGAAACTAAAGGAAGGACTAAAGAAGATATCATTACCACTTTTTTCAGAAATATTCTGTACATGACTGGGTAGGACCACACAGCAGCTACTGAATTAGCTGTAACAGCATCTTAGAATGTCTCCACCTTAGAGATTGCTTGTTAACCCAAAGCCAGATCATCAGTATTTTCCCCAGGGAGACACTGCTTATTTTTTTAAAGCAGTAATAATAACTTAGAAATACAGATGTGTCACTGACATTCATTTAAATAGCATAGTAAAACATTTCATATATAAATCTCCAGTCCCTTCGTCAAAGTATTGGTTTTGGTTTTCAGATTTTTAACAGTGCTGTTGACTCAGCACATGCTCAGAACAGATGGTAATGGTTTGTGCACAGCATAAATCAACTTCTCAAAAAAACCACAGCTTACCTCCCTTTACTCTTTAATATCAGACCAAGGAAAACCTATGCAGGTCCAATGGAAAAATGAAACTAAAGCCCTGATATTGTAAGAGTTCACAAACCCTTGAATTATAAGGTTTTTGAACCTCTTGAATCCAAGAATTAGAAAACAATCACTAGTAACATCATAGAGACTAGTTTTGATTTTCAAATAGCAAAATTACATAGCAATTTGCCTAAGTTATTCCCAAAAAATAAGGGAGTCAGCTGCAGTGCTTAGATTTGGAATGTCAGAAAGCAGCACTGAATTATTCTGATTTTCCCTAGGTGTACACTTTAAAAATTGTAACTAAAAAGAAAAAAAAAGACTTCAGAATATTGTGCCAAATTGCCATCTTAGACACTATTTCACTAAAAAAGATTTTCAAAAATTCAGCTGCATTTGAAAGTTATCTTCCTACAGTGGCTACCCTATTTTGCTTTAAAATAAAGAGCCAGAATTTGAGCCTGTTGATAGGCATTCAAAAATTCTCACTTTTTTAAACTGTCATCACTTTCAAGGCTCACATGTGTTAAATGTGCAATACCCACCCCAGAGTCATTTAGAAACATCCTGGGATTCTTGTAACAGAAACTACTAGATCTTAACTTCAAGAAACCAATATGGCAGGGACCAAAGACTCAAAGGTACTCCTACTGGCTCCAAAACCTCTCGAGAGAAGTGGTAACAGAGCACCACAAAACACTACTGGGTAGACCAAATAGCAATGGTGCAGCTTCTAGAATTAAGCGGACATATATGCTAGCCTAAAAGTAAAACTGTCACTCAAATATCTGTTTCATTTACATATCAATTTTATAGAAGTCCATATGGAATTAAGGCTTGTTTCCCCTCCACTCCTAATGAAAAAGCACAAGAAGTTGTAATTACATCTTTTATAAGGAAAATGACTCTTCCTCTCTGCTGAATATGAACATGCAGAGTATTAAGGAACAGGGAAGATGGCTCCTAGAACATGATAGTAGAAACACTGTCCCTTTCTTATTTTTCTTCTGAACAGAGGAGTTGTGTTTTGAGACTTCACGCATCTGCTGCTGAGCAACATTCACTTCACGCATGAATTAATGCAAGGGGCTGCGCTGCTCAGCAGTCAAAGGACAGCAAAGTCTTTAGGCCTGCTTTGAACCTCAACATCATTTATTACAGATCATGTCCGAGTACTTACTGCCAGCAAATAAGCACTGACCTCGAGCTGTATTTCTTTAAGATGGATTCCAGAATGTTTACCAGTTCCTCAGAGTTAATGAACTTTTGGGTGCTGAGTGTGTACATTTTTTCATAGAAGTCAGCAATTTCCATCCGAGCCTGAACAAAAAAACAGAGCTGTTCAGACAGGTGAGAAAGCAGCTCTTCCAAGTGAGGAGCTGTTCCTCCTAGTGCATTGCGACCCGTCGCCACCACCTTCTTCAGCTCATTATGCAGAGACGTGTAGATGGTTCGGATGGAGTCCTTTCGGCTGAAGAATGACTGACCACCTGTTCAGATAAATATGGAGGTATTACTAAAATCCAAGGACAGCAAAGAGAGACAGCAATACTGGAAAACTGTACATGACCATGCTTGTTTCCCCCTAGGTGTTCCTAAGTGTTGCTTGATTACAGTTGGTTTTTTTTAAAAAAAAAAAAAAAAAAAAAAAAAAAAAAAAATCAAGAAACAAACTTCAGTGTATTATTTTGCAAGCAACTGAATTACACGTAGCATACACTCAGACGCACTTTATGTAATTTCATGCACGTTACACTTGTCCTAATTCATATCTCGGCAGCTAACGACTGCTGCAAAACTTCAACTCCCTCACATCACGCCTCAGCTATGGCGTGACCTTTCAGAAAACAAGGGTTCAGTTAAATTTGGTACTACGATACAACCTGGAAATACTGGTATCTGTAGTAGTCAGAAGAATCAAGTCATCATGAAACTTTCATAGCCCCCACCCCTGTTAATAACTCTAGTTCTTTTCAAGAGAATTCCCTTAACAATACCTCTTCAATCATGAAGCACTTGAATTTGCAAGGTAACCTTTAAATGGGAATCACGTGACATTTGTGTGTCCAAACCAAACCTTTCCAGTCCCTACACAATCTTAATATAAACAAGAATTCAAAGGGAAAACAGTCACAGATTATCTCAGGTTAATCCATAACTAAAACTGAGGGGAAAAAAAAAAGTCTATGCTTCCTTCTACCTGCTCAACACTATAAGGAATTCAAAAAAGAAAGAGAGACAAAAGTGGAGGGTCAAAGTAACAGATACTTAACTTTGATGCTACCAAAAGACTGTACAAAGGTACTAATCTTATTTCATAATTTCTATTTACAGATGGCCTTATGTGCTGCTGCAGCACTCAGCAGCAGAGCAAGGATCACAGGGACTGAATCTACAGAACTTTTAAAGATTCCAAACTTAGGTTCCACTCTGAAAGTGCTTATAAATTTTGTAGTGGTGGCTAGTCCTTTTGACATCCATTTTACACATACAACGTGTAAAAGCGACTTTAGCAGTCTGAGACAGAAAGGCAGAGAATTGGTTGTCACAGTGAAACAGCTACCTTCCCAAGCCAAGAGTTGCCCCCAGGCCAGGGGCAGGATGAAGAATCATCTATTGCTGCTGCTCATATAGTATATAAACAGATAAAACTCTGTCCCTTCTCTTGTCAATGTTATCCTTTCTGCAAACACCAAATTCACTTTTTAAAGCTAGTCTTACAGACAGAGCTTTGTCTGTAGAGATTTCATAAAATACTTCCAAGTCACCACTTAAACACCAAAGCAGAATTTTCTCGATGCTTTACTGCATTACACATCAGACTCATATCCCTTGATCAATTTTCCATGCCAATCTGCAGTTTAAAGAGAAAACAAGCAGCTTTGCCCAGAGGGCAACACGATGACAGCTCATCCTGTGCCAGTTTGGGATTTTTCTGTTCACATATGAGAGAGCGAGAAGCAGCCAAGATTGGGCCCAAAACTTCCTGACATCCTACAGAGTCTACATGAGTAACAGTTGTAGGAGGCTACCACCAGCCCGAGGACTTACACATATGCAACTCTATTATTAGGCCCTGGAATAGTGACGTGAAGAATCTTTAACCCTTTCATCACCCCACTGAGCTCACCTTTGCCAGCATCTCACCCAGAGCATCCCAGCACAGAAACCCCTCTGGCTAAACCTTGGGAAGGGCAGGTAGGCAGCCCGCCAGCCAAGAGACGCACCGGTCCGCACAGCTGCTGTGCCACCTGCACGGCATCTGCACTCTTATTCGCTCCTGTGGGGCAACCCAAACGCACAGCCCATTCCTCACCACGGACACTCGCTGACCGCGCACTTGTGTTTCGCACGGGCCCCCCGCCGAGGCCGCGGCCCCAGTCACCCACGCTGTTCAGCTGCCGGTAACAGCTCACATC